CCATGTTCTCTAGACTCACAAAGAGCGTATGGCTTAATAAGAAGCTGACAGCATATACCAAGATCTAGGTCTATAGAGCTTCTGTCCTGTACCGTAGTGAGTGCTGAACCCTTTGTGCACGGCAGGAGAGGAAGTTGAACATGTTCCATATGTGCTGTCTCTGACACATTTTTGGCATCACCTGGCAGGACAAAGTTCCAAATAAGTGTAGTCCTGGAACAAGCTGGAATTGTTAGCATGTATACATTACTGATGTGATGGTGCTGTGGGTTAAACCGCAGAAGCCTCTGTGCTCCACGGTCAGAAGACCAGCCGTCATAAGATCGAATCCATGTGACGGAGTGCGCTCCCATTACTTGTCCCAGCTCCTGCCAACCTAGCCGTTCAAAAGCATGTAAAAATGTGAGTAGATGAATAGGTACCACCTAGTCGCGTTGGCCACATGACCACGGAAACTGTGTTTGGACAAATGCTGGCGCTGTGGCTTGGAGGCAGGGATGAGCACTGCCCCCTAGAGTCAGACACGATTGGACTAAATGTCAAGGAGAACCTTTAACTTTACCTTATATATTACTGAAACAGCAATGTCTACGTTGGCTTGGGGATGTTGTGAGAATGGCTGATGGTAGGATTCCCAAAGATCTCCTGTATGGAGAATTAGCGCAGGGAAAGTGCCCCAGAGGGAGACCATAGCTGAGTTAGAAGGATATCTGCAAGCGGGATCTGAAGGCCTTAGGAATGGACCTCAACAGATGGGAAACCTTGACATCTGAGTGTTCAGCCTGGAGGCAGACGGTGCAGCATGGCCTCTCCCAATTTGAAGAGACACTTGTTCAGCAGGCTGAGGCAAAGAGGGAGTCCCAAAACCAGCAAAATCAGGGAGTTGGACAGGGGATGGATTGTATTTGTCTTCAGTGTTGAAGGGATTGTCACTCTTGAACTGGCCTTCTCAGCCACACTAGACGCTGTTCGAAGATCTCTATTCAGAGTACTTTACCATAGTCTCTTGAGACTGAAGGATGCCTACCTGACCTAAGCATATAGTATTAAGAATGAACATGGTTTATTTAAAGCCAATTGTTACATTTTAGATCTTTACTTTACTGAAAAAGGATGAAGTGAAGATTAGGTTGTTACTGTTATTATTTTAGTATGACAGTATTAATGAAAATTGCTTGGAGGTTTCATTACCTGAATTTCTTACCCAAAGGGTTTTAGTACAGTAAAGAACACTGTTACTATGGGAACCTCCTGCTTCATGTGGAAGATCCTGCGCACTTTCTGTATGACTAAATGCCATACTTTCCTCTTTTTAAAAACAAAGGGATGTTGGCATAGGCAGTGGGCAGAGCAGTGAGAAGTAAATTGGTTTTCGTACATCACGTTTACAGTGAGTGATATGACCTATCTTCCAAATGTCCAATCAATAGAAAAATCAGCCTACCATATTAGAATCTTTGGCTCATATGCATTAACAGTAGTTGTGATGTATTTGGCCCAAGATACATATCCTGAAATAATTTCAGGTAATTTTTCCCCTTCCTTATTTCTCTTTGTAGTCAATATCTACATTTACCGTGGTTTCTCTATAGTTATTTCTAATACATGGCCAAAGTGTCCAGCTTAGTTTTCTTTCTCTCATCTGCAGAGCACCTGCTGCAACTGGAATTCCACATAGCAGAGTACGTATCTGTGTGTGGGCTGAACATGGCATATTGTGGACTTTGGTTGACCTCTGTCCATTATTCTACAATCCTGTTTAGCTGAACCTGGGTTACTACAGGTGCTTTGCATATGTGCATGAAATCATTGAAGCATTTGGTAATAGTCTTTAAGATAACATCTTGAGTGAAAGAGTATGGCTTCCTTCTTTTTTTCTTTCTGTTTATTTATAAGCAAAGAATGTCTTAGGTTAATAAATTACAGTCATACATGTTTACCTGACATACTTTGGAGGTGACAAATACAGGATTATTGCAGTCTTTTAATATTTCAGAATAATAGAACTTAATTATATGGCACAAAATATCTTTACAAATAAACATTTAATGCTTGCTATAATATTTGGAATTTCAGACTTTGGTGTCACCTTTTTGCAGTTCTTAGTGGATGATTTTTAAATGTACATTATGGGTGTACTTCTAGACATTGCAGAAGTATGGATGAACTCCTGTTCATAGTATAAGCCAAGGGATAACTTTCCATCCCTGGTAAACAGAGCAACTGTTGCGCAATTCTTGGGGGTGCTTATGCACCAAGCTTTTGTTCAGACAAGTCCTCAAGAACTGTGGCAGTGAGATTTTGTTTACCATGAAGGAATGGATGGAAAGATACACTTTGGCTTATAGTACAATCAGGGTTACAGTATAGAAGGGAAACAAAATGCAAGGGAGACAGGGAAAGTTACTTAAAATTCAATACAGACTTCCAAAGAATAGCAAGGACAGACTAGAGGGCCTTCTTAAATGAACAGTGTAAAGAAATATAGGATGAGAAAGGAAAAAACCAGAGCCCAGTTCAAGAAAACTGGAGATATTAAAGGAATCTTTTGTGCAAAGACGGACATGTTAAAGGACAAAAATGGCAGGGGCCTCACAGATGTAGAAGACATCA